GGATGGGTGCTGTGAGCTGCTGGTCAGGGGTGGGTCAGGATGGGTGCTGTGAGCTGCTGGTCAGGGGTGGTCAGGATGGGTGCTGTGAGCGGCTGGTCAGGGGTGGTTAGGATGGGTGCTGTGAGCTGCTGGTCAGGGGTGGTCAGGATGGGTGCTGTGAGCGGCTGGTCAGGGGTGGTTAGGATGGGTGCTGTGTGCAGCTGGTCAGGGGTGGGTTGAAAGCAGCACAGGTAACAAACCAGCTGTGATTGTAGACCAGCAGTCGGAGTAACTGGACTGTCTGTCAGTCTCAAGGTTTCACATCGTAGTTTCATCTATGCCTGCTTTTTTCCCTCAACAAACAAAAAACCCTGAAATTATACTTTTTGTCGAAATACTATTTTGTGTGAAGTTTCTAATATTAACGGGACAATTGCTGTTGATAGAACTTTTAAAAGGTGCCAACTTTGAATGTTTGATGTGGACCAGAACTTGCCACTTTATGTTTCTTGACACATTGATATTCATTAGTCTTTCAAATTTCATGTGATTACTATGCTCTCACCTAGCAGTTCTATTTATCTTTTTAAGAAAATCTTCATTGATGATCTCCTATTGTGCAGTTGTGTATGTATTCCTGAACATATATGAAAAGACAGTATAGTGTGTATTCTGCAAAATCATATGTAAATTACATTGCATTTGATCAGAGGGAAAAATCATTAAAGCCACAAAGAACAAGACTTAAATGCTTGCTGTACATTATCAAATACCTGTTATAACCCTACAACTATTTTGAGCTTATTAGTTCTGATGTCTATATGTGGTCTGTTTAGAAGATAAGGGCAGAGAAGAGTTAGGGGTTATTCTCAGGTATTCTTACATACTCAAGTGTTTTCAAGGGGATTTCTTACCTTAGACATATTTGGTTATAACCAGAGAAACTTTGGTTTTTCCCAAGGTAGGCTTGGGGTTGGGATGGGAAGGATGAGGGCATATCTAACAGGTAACCCTAACAGGGTACTTAGTGGGTAGAGGCCAAGAATCCTGCTAAGCATCCTATAACAAAAAGTCATTCACTCTAATACAGTTTGGCAAATCCAATTGTGTTGTACATTTTTTTTTTTTGAGAACTGTAGTCCTGGTGGAAGAAATTCAAGTTGAGATCAACTGAAGGATAAATTGAAGTTGACAGGTTGTACTTTCAAATAAATATTTTCTAGATTTTAACTCAGAATTAAGGAACCTTATTTGTCTTAGTTACTACCTGCTTTTGAGTGTGCCTAAAACTCACTGACATTCTAGGAGATGCTCAGTATTCATGAGCAGGTGACCTAGCTTGTCCTAAAAGTGTTCCTACTTAGCAGAGGAAGAGGTAGCATTGTACAGGTGTTTATGTTTAAAAACATGTTTCAGTGTGGAGATCTGTGATCCTTCAGTTTACTGAAATGAGAAGAAATTTCATAAATTCGGGTCCAGAAGCTTGTGTAATTTCCATTCTCAGGATTGGCTTTTATTTCAGTGCCTCACAGTGCTGAATACTGGAGAGAGGCCGCCATGTCTGCTTTAAACAGGCCGCCATGTTTCCATCAGATGAGTAATAGTGGGGCTGCTTTAAAAATACTGCAGCTGCAGGTTTGAGGTTGTAACATAGTGGTATGTTTTTCCTGCATTGATGGGTCTTGGGTTTAATCTTGACACTAAAAGAAAATTGATAGTAAAGCCAAATTGTTAGACATTTTTTCTTTAGCTTGCTGCTTATAAAATGGATTCTATCTTTTTGCTTTTAAGATTATGGGTTCTCACCTTTTTTAAAAAAGATTTTTATTTAATTTTTTGTTTTTATTTATTTGGCATATCTTTTTGTTGTTGTTATTGTTTGGTTTTGGGACAATGTCTCATGTAACCAAGGATGGCCTTGAACAGGAACTTACTATATAGGCAAGGATAACTTTGAACTCCTGTATACATCTCCTGAGTAATTTGGATTATAGGTCTACAATACCATCATGCCCAACTTTTGGCAAGCATTTTTGATTCTTTGAGACAGGGTCTCATGTTTCCCGGGTTGACCTCGAACTCTCCTTCCACTCTTCATAAATCCTGCATTACAGGTTTACCACCCCCTCATGTTTATAGGTTCTGGGGATTTGACTCAGAGATTCCTGAATGCTAAGAAAGCATTCTATCAACTGCACTCCATTCCTGGCATAGATTTTTTTTTGTATGTTAATATGGCATATAGTTTAGTAGAAAAGTTTTAGTAGAAAAGTTCTGGAAAGAAGATAAGTTATCTCAAGACAAAATCTTTACCCCAAGTTTCTTTATGTTTTTTGAAAAATATTTTATTGTGTGTGTGGGAGGGAGTGGGGGCGTGGATCTGTGTTTGTTGGTTAGAAGGTTCTCCACCTTTGCATGGATTCTGGGAATCCAACTCAGGTTGACAGGCTTCACAACAGTGTTTTTACTCATTGGCCCATCTCCATGGCCCTTTCATGTTTCTTTATATCTATTTTGTTTTTGCCTTTTCTTCCCTTCCTAAGCAACACAGTCTGAATAATATTAGGTAGAACTAAACGACGTGGCTATCCCTATGAATCGGAAACTGTAGTGACTCAAGAGCTGGTGTGTAGGAGCAAGCATGAATCGGGTTGACACGATAGCCCAGTTTACAATGCCAGGGCATTGGATGTCGAGAAGGTAGTATCCACATGTTTATGGACATGGGGACAGCTTCTGTAGTCAGTGAGATCAAGTATGGTCGTAGGAGTGATTCACTTGGGCTTTTTGGTGAGGGGTGAATCCCAGCTAGGGAGCAGCGAGTGTTTCAGTGAGAAGTAATCCGGTGTGGTATGAGGAGGACATCCATACTGGACTGTTTGCATAGTGAGTTAGAATCGTGGTGGTCTCATGGGACATCTTCACAGGACAGTGGCTTGGAACTAGGTGAGAGAGCCTGAGCAGAGGTAGGGAGATAACATGTGGAAGGTGTGGCTGAGACCCATATGGGAGAGCTTCCTTAGCAGATAGGCCTCTGGGAGGTTTGATCAGACAGAGTGAGGTCAGTAGAGTAATCGATTAATACAAGCTACGTTAATCAGCTTGAGGATGATCACATATATTCTTTCATACTTTGGAGAAGAAAAAACATAGAATGGGTCCTGTGATTTTAGATTGTAATTGTAGGGATCTGAACTCAGATACAGAGAAATAGAGGTGCACACATATTCTCTCCGTTGTCTTACAGGCTGGAGAACAGATAGCAGCTTCCCCAAAACAATGAGTATGCATGACATTCAGTTCATTCCTGCTTTCTAAACTAAAACTAAAGGGAACTAAAGATCTCTTTAAAAATTGTGGCTTTCAGAGCTGGTGCAGCCAGCATAAAAGTTAGCCTAGAACAAGTAGAATATTTTGTATTTTTATATACCACTGGGTGTAATAAAAGTGGGGTGAAGTAAACAACTGGTGTTGATAGTGCTCTCATTTTTAAGAGTGTGCTGGTCATCATCTTACCACGGAATCCAACTTGAAGCTTGTCCTTCATCGTTCCATAATTAACAGATATGGTCCGAAGGGCACAACACCTTTGTACTCTGCTTTGTCTTTCCTTTGTTCCCCATTCCTGCCTTTCTGTGGTGGGGTACATTTTAAAAATTAGTTTCAATTTTAAAATTATCATAGTTTTAGGTAATTCTGCTCTTCATTGTTAAGAACTTTTGCTCTTTGCTTATTGTTGATAATATACAATCTTAGATTTTTATTTTTTTGTTATTTATTTTAGAGAGGATTTTGTTATGTGGCCCAGACGACCTCAAACTTACAATCCTCTTGTACAGGCCACCACAGCAAGCTCCATTTTAGTTTTAAGAGTTCTGTATTTCAGATATCTTTTAAAATTATTAGTTTTCTTATTTTTAGGTTTTCTCCATTTTTGTCTTTGGCATTAACTTTCTCTTGGGACATTTTACGTTTTAAAAATTCATGTCTTGATTTTCCTTTTCTGTTTTAGAGACTTAAATGTCCAGTAATCTACAGGTGTTGGTCATATTTGAGACTTGGACAACAGAATACTTGTGAGATACGCAACTTTAGGTTGGCTGTTCCATAAATATGCTTGTTAGGTCCAAAGGAAACTCCCAATTCCTCAAACTCCAAAAGCAGTTCACATTTCCAGAAGTGTGATTTCTGGCATTTAGAGAAAAGCCATCATTCCTCAGGAACTTGAGAAGCTGGTTTCCCCTCTACCAAAAGTAGTCATTTCCCTTATTGCAGAAGGGCAAATGGCTACCCATGGTACCTATCAGCATATCAAAGCTCATGCTGACCTTCAGGCTCCCTCAGTAACACAAGCACCTGTTACACATTTCAAAGTCCATGCTAGCATCCCAGCCCTTCTCACCTCCTTTTCTATCCTAAACTCCCTCCATCTCATAACTTCCCTCCCCACAGATACTCATTCTCCTTAGAACCCTGCTATTCTTGATGTTTTTCTTTATCTCTGCTCTGCTCCTGCTTCTCTCACTATGTTTTCTCTATTATCTATCCCTTGCTGGTCTCACTGTCTTCCATATAGCTTTGGACAGGTCCAGTCTGTTGACCATGTGTAGTCTACTTCTTTCTTTCTCTGCTCTGTGCTCTTCCCGAGGCTTCTAGCTGTTCTAACTCATACCTATAATAGAAAATTTCCTCTTAACCATTTCATGTCATGCTGTCAGTTTATACAATGCTTTCTTTTAATCTCTCCTACCCACCTTTAGTAAGACAGAGTCTCACTATTTAGCACAGCCCAGGTTGATATCAAAGTTGAAATCCTCCGGTTTTAGCCTCCTCAAGTTCTGGGACTACAGTTGAGTACCCGCTGTGCCTGGGAACTGCTGTATTGCTGTTTGCTTGTCTTATTCCTTCTGTTTTATCTCAAGTTCCTTTTCTGCATCTCTGTGGCTTTCTCTATGGCAGATTAGTCTCCTTGAAGGAATTAATATATTAATATATCCAATGGAGGATATTATATATTATATATCATATATATATATAAAATAAGGATATCATATATATCCAGTGAAGAATATTAATATATAATATTTGATCTTACTTTAGGTTGCTACGGTTTTTGTCATATTTCATTATTTATCATGCTTCATCTCATTTCCATCTTTCAGAAAATTGGTTTTTTTTTGCATATGGCTTTCTATTCCATTTCCATTGTTAATTTATTTCTTGCTATTTCATTTAGTATGTGTGTATACTCATGTGACATGTGGATATCTGGGGACAATTTCATGGAGTCAGTTCTTTTTTTCTAACTTAACTTGGATTCTTGGGATCAAACATGTCATCTAGGTTGTATTGTGAGTAGAAAGCTCCTAACTAACCATCTTGCCTGTCTCTAGAATTCTTTATAGTACTATATTGGACAGTTAATAGATACTTGTTAAATGAATAAATGGAAAAATATGTTCTTTTGTTAATCCTGTATTGTACTGGAATTGTTTTGAAGATGAGTTGTATTTGATTATAGTTTAAAAAAAATTAATAGTTAACTTTTCTTTCAGGATCATCTAAAAAATTACCACAGAAGATTTTGCCGGCCTTCCAGGTGACATGCTTATACTTAAGCTTTTAAGACGACTTATTTTCATCTTCAGAAAGTGGGGTTTTTAATTTAAGATAGAAAAATCTATTACCTTTGGCTGATTGATTTCTATCCACACTGATTGGTCTTTTAATTATTTTATATAAGAGAGAAATATTAACACAAATCATCTAATGACTTAGTGGAAGTAAGAAAAAAATACTCATAGAATCGTGGACAAGATGAATTAAACAGTGAATTATTAGCACTTAATAGTAATATTAGTGAAATATACTTATTTCAATGTTTTTGGACCATAAAGAGCTTGCATTTTGTTTGAAAGATTTTTTTTCTGTACTATCAGTAAAATTATATAATTGACAAAAATATTACTTATAATAGGATAATAAAGTAACAGTTTATGTCATAAAAGGTTTTTATATAATTTAGCTATTAATTTGAAGTATACCCAGCCATGTAAAAAAATTATATGGAATTTGTGTGAATTTAATGAAACATTAAAGGTTTAGTGTAATTTTAAGCAAAAGTTTATTAACTCTCTTTAGACCTACATATCTAAATTATGCTGACCAAAATCCAGATGTCATTCATTAGGTAAATGCTTAAACTCTATGATATATTCATAGCATAGAACATTATTCAGCAATAATTGGAATGAATAGTTCATTCTTGCAATAACTTTATTCTCTAAAGAATTATAGTGAGTAAAAAAAGTCATTGCAAAATATTGCATACTATACAATCTCATTTTTATGGATGATTATTTTTTAACTGACAGAAATTTAGAAATGGACAGGTAGTTAGTGGACAGGGGTTAGGAATGATAGGATGAGGGGAGGACAGAAGGGAGTTAGAGGAAAATAGATCTATTGCTGAAAGGGCGATACAGGGATCCTTATGGTGACCAAACCAGTGTCTTGTCTCTGGTTGTGATATTGAACCTACAGAGGTAATACATTGGGTAGAATAATACACACACACACACACACACACACACACACACACACACACACACACAGAAATTGAAATGATCTATGTGAGATAGTTACTGATAACCACACAGATTAAACCGGTTAAAAGTTTTGAGTCCTTTTAATGGCCAAAGAGCAGACTCGTGCCTCTGAAAAGGCTTAGTGACCAAGCTCAGGGGTACAGTATTTTTAAAGACAAAAACCACAGTTATATCAGTGCTGGCAGTTGGTGGAAGGGGGGCGTCATTCACATTAGTGAGGGATTTTTCCATACACTACATGATAATTATTTTTGATTTATATTTCTCTTAGTTGCTTTAGTTTTATTTTTAAACTTCCACAAAGATCAGTTATTTCAGTTATTATATCTGGATCACAATCAGGGTCATGACAGTTCCCAAAGTGATGCCAAGATAGATGTGGCTATTGGAGGTTTGGAAGGCTGAGAAAGTCTAGGCAGACAAAATAAAATTGTATTACATTAGTCATTTCAAAACATAAAAACATGAGTGAGTACATATTGAACCAGAAAAAACTGAATGAATATATTATAACCATATGGCAATGTAAAATCAATACAATATTTAATTTAAACTATTTCTATCCATTCGTAATTGCTGATTAATTAAAAATTAATGCTATTGAATCCAAAGTGCACTTGAAAGCTTGCAGAGAAGACAATGTTACTTGGAGATGTCGAGACTGGTGTCTATAAAGTCTTCATTAAAGAAGCATTTAGTGCTTGAAATAGAATTCAATGGTAGACAAGTTAGCCCGGAATGCCAAAAGCCCTGGGTTTAATTTGCAAAACAAAAGCAAAACATTTCGGAACCAGTTTAGTTCTTCAAAAATTGGAATTGCTATTGAAATATAGCAGTTGTCTGAACCAATTTTAGATACAGATATTCAATTTTGAGTAGATATATGTAGATAATAAGATAACTTCTCTTAATATTATATACAAATAGAATGTTTGTTGGACTCAGACTACCAAGTTTTTCCTCTTTACAGTTAACATTTTATATGGGATTTTCAAGCAGACAAGTAACAAAGTAACACATATCTTACAGAAATTATATATTTACTTTTTCTTTTTTATTAGAGCGCCCAACATTCAAGCAAAGCAAGGCCAGAATGTGCTGGATATCTTACAAGACTGTTTTGAAGAACAAAGTAAGGCTTCATTTCTAGACGGACTTTCAGAGTTGGTATAGATGAAAATAGAAATTTATCACTAATGTCAAATGTAGCAGATATGTTCTAGCATTTAAATATGTAGGGCAGTTTTTTCATAACTTTGAATATACATAATCAATCCTTATATCTTTTGGTATATTGAGAAGAATATAGAATACTGTAATGTGCCATCTTTAACTCACAGTAGATCCCTATAAACTGGAACTCCATAGATCACTACTTTCCACAAAAGAAAATATTTCTTTAATGTGAAAATCTAAAATCATATATGCTTGGAAATACAGAAGTTTGGATATGAATATCATGCTACAAATGGAATATTCTATGAAATTTTATTTTATGTACAAAATTATACTCAGTCTTTGTATATAAAGTGTATGTGAAATGTAAGTAAATTTTGTGTTTAGACTCAAGAAAAATCTTAAGATGCATATGTAAATATACCAAAATCTGCATAAAACACGACATTAGGTACTTATAGATCTAAGCATTTCTGTAAGGGAGAAAGCATAAGGGATCATTTGAATTTGAAGTAATTTTGGCAATTTACATTTGTTTATTTCAAAGTGATGAATTAACACACAAAGCGTTCTGAGGCTGAGCATGAGTAGGCGAGTGGAGAGAAGAATGGTAGATGCTGCTCTTGAATGTCAGCTCCCCAAGCCTGGGCTGGAACATTGACTTCCAGTGCAACTGTTGAGAGATGAGACTTGAGGTGTTGTTAGATCATAAGGTTTCTGTCCTCATGAATGAATGTGAGCCAACCATAAAGGCCTTGGGAGCTTTGTTGGTTCTGTATCTTGCTTGGGATAAAATAAAAACTCTTGCTAGATACAAAATCTCTGAAATCTCTGAGCTTTTTAAATCATTCAGTTTCTTGTATTTATTTTGCAGATCTCTGGGTATGAAGCCCAGGGCGTTGTGGTTGTTAGGCAAGCACTCTATCACCGAGCTACATCCCTAATTCAGTCTCAGGTATTCTGTTACACAAAAGTAAGACAGCAGAAAAAGTATCTTCATTACAGACAGAAAGAACTGAATTTTTTTTTTTTTTTTTTTTTTTTAGGAATTTTGTTTGTTTTTATATTTCTGATGTTCTGTAGGAACATTTGACATCTCTGTTTCTTTTGGCTGATTGTATTTTGGAGAGTCAACTGACAGTTCTTCACAGATCATATAGAGTAGTGGTTCTCAGTCTTCCTAAGACTGACACTTTATACAGTTCCTCACGTTGTGATCTCCCAGTCATAAAATTATTTTCATTGCTACTTCATAACTAATTTTGCTACTGTTATGAATCACAATGTAGATATCTGTGTTTTCCAATGATCTTAGGCAACCTCCATGAGAGGGTCATTTGACCCACAAGGTCTCATGACCCACAGGTTGAGAGCCATTGATATAGAGTCCCTTTAATTGTTCAATTAGAATTTTTCTTTCGAGACAGGGTTTCAGTATATAGATCAGGCTAGTCTTAAATTCACAGTGATCTGCCTGCCTGAGTGCCGAGATTTAAAAGTTGTATTCCACCTTTTCCAGCTTTTTTTTTTTAAGTCTTGTCAATGGTTTTTATTACAGATTCTCCAGAGTCCTTGCGTTGTTCCACACCTAAAGTGAAAGATAATCATAATCAATCAGCAGGCAAAGAGGTAAGTCTAATAGAACTGATGTGGGTTTGGTACTTTAATGAATGATATTTAAACAGTGTTCTTATGTACATTTTAGTTGTCTTATTCTTTAAAGAGAATCCTATGGTTCCATTGCATTTCATAAAATTTGAAGATATTATAAAATTTTGGTTTGGTATTTCTAGTGTTTGAAATTGGGGAAAAAATACAAAATTATAGCAATCCTTTTTGTTATAAACTAATACTTAAGAGTTTTAGGGAAATGGGTAGCTTTAAAGTTCCTGATTAGACTGACAAGTGTGGTTGTTTTCTGAAGACTGATGGGACTGGTTGCTGTCCACAAAAACTGCTTTTGGTTGATTATCCAAAAGTAGTGTGCAGCTTTAGTTAGAATCCCCCCCCCCACCCCACCCCCCGAGACAGGGTTTCTCTGTGTAGCTTTGCGCCTTTCCTGGAACTCACTCGGTAGACCAGGCTGGCCTCGAACTCACAGAGATCCACCTGCCTCTGCCTCCCGAGTGCTGGGATTAAAGGCGTGCGCCAACAATGCCCAGCTTTTGCAATGGCTTGCTATTAGCTCTGACCCCCAGGCAACTTTATTTATTAACATACAAATAAAATCACATTTCAGTACAAATAAAATATCACCATACTTCAGTATATAGGACCATCTGCTTTGTTGTTTAACTGACTCCCCCCATTTTAAAAGCATGCATCTAATCAGAATTGACAATTAATAAAAGTAGATTAATGTATTTCTTTGTGCTCAGTGCCAGGCATCATGTTCAAAATCAGTTCTGGGTTCTTCAAGGAGCAAAGAAGCTTTTCTGCAAGTTGCTGCAGAACTGAGTGAAGCTGCTCATGGATCAGGTTGGTAGCATACTCATGACAATTAAAAAGCTGCCGTGACAAAGGTGGTGACACCTTGTGTCAGGTGACAAGATCAGGGTCTGACAAGGTCTGGTTGATTGTGGTCAGGTTGATTTTCTTCCCCCTTTTCCTTTTGCTTTATTCTGTGATAGGTGCTGCAGGGTTTTTTTGTTTGTTTGTTTTTGTTTTTTATTTTTACATTTTCTTTATCTTTGTTCCAAATTAGAAGACTACTATTCTGTTTGAGCTCATAGACTCAAAGATTGAAAAGAAAAATCTAATCACTGTTTCCATCATTTTGTTTCGGGAACTCTTGAATTCTTCCACAGCTCCATTGGTGCTCATAAATTTAAAAGAAATAAGCTTGTGTGTGACATGGTTGCCCTGTGTAGCATATATGCTTCTAACTGACTATGGGCTTAAAAGTATAAATATATACATTTAAAAATTGTTGTTATTATTTGCATGTGCATGTGTGTACTGTGATTGGCATGCCATGGCATGTGTGCACTCTGATTCACATGTCATGGCATGTGTGTGGAGGGTAGGGGATTACTTTGGAGCTGGTTCTCTCCTTCCATGTTCACACAGGTTCCTGTAATTGAACTCAGTTGTCAGGCTTGCTTAGTAAGCAGCTCTACTCACTGAAACATCAGGCCAGACCTGAAATAATCATAATAATAATAATTATTATTATTTTTAATTTTTTGAGACAGGATCTTACTATGTAGCTCTGGAACTCACTGTGGCTATCAGGCTGGCTTCTAACTCAGAGATCAGTCTGCTCTCTTCTTCCAGAGGATTGTACCACAATGACAGCTGAAATTATATTTTTAACTATGTAACTTAACACTCTTTATTTTAACTGTAGAATGTGTGACTTTTAGCTGTAAGCCTAGTTTCCTATTCTGATTAAACAACAGTCCTTTTCCCCCAGTAGTACATATCCATAATAAGATATTAATTTTATTATGAGTGATATAATATTTCATGTTTGTTTTGTCAGATACATTCATTCATTAATCTATGCTCTTCTGAATTTATTTTTTGTATTGAATTTCAATCTAATTTAACATACTTTTGAACTTGGACCTCATTTGTTTTTTACTGTGTCAATATAGTGTTACATTCCAGGTTTGGAGTATGTATGATTCAAAACTAACTATTTTCATTTCTTCACCTACCATTCACAAAATGTTTCTCTGAACTTTCAGTTTTATTCGGTTCCTGATAACTTTGTTAAAACTCTAACTAGAATGGGCTTGATGTTGTAATTTTTGACAATTTTTCTTTCTTTCTTCTTCAACAACATATATATGCCCTTCAAAATGCTAAAGCTTGAAGGGCACTATAAACTGTGTAAACGGATAACTAAGGTGTAGTAGAAAGTGTACATACGAATTATCTGATAAGGACTTTTCCTCCATAATACTTACCCCTGTCCCATAGTACAACCTGGCGCTTTGCTTCTCTGCCACTACAGGCAGAAGAGAGCCCCATGGCCCGTGTTCTAGAGCAAGGGTTGGAGTTTCCCTCTACTCTGTATGCTCTTACCTTATTGGGAGAATGTGGGCTGTTTCCTTTCCCTTTGCTTAGTGTCGGTTCTGGGTTGCAGACATCTCAGACGCCTAGTCCAGGGACAAGTGGGAAGTGACCAGGAAACCCAAAGACCACATTGTGAATTGTTCCTTAGTCTTCCGTTTTCTATGTCGATACCCTAGTTCCTCTCACGGTTCAGAGCCCCGTTTTTTTGGTTGATGGGTGATTTCTAAGGAATTTAGTTTCATTAAGAGGTAGAAGTAGAGAAATGACATCTTACTACTGAACCACAAGCCCTTTTTTGTTGTATTTAATTTTTAAATCTGTGCACTTAAGAGCAATAAGTTAGTATGAATACTGTCTAGGCATTTTTCTTTGACTGAAGGTGATTTTATGTAAGTATGTTTGTATATTCTCTGTATATGTATGTAGATACATGTATGCACGTTATGTGTATGCCTGTTATATTTGTAGGTATGTTCATCTAGCCACATTAGCTTACTTGCTCTTAGCCTATCCATAGCAGAATTTCATCATTTCTCTGTTCTGCATTTAGCTGTGTACAAACTGTACATCTCAAGACTTTGGGCATACATTTTGGAGTTTCTGTGTTTGAGGACTTCTGTGTTTTCATAACCTCAGATGGTGTAGACATGCTTCAGTTCATTAATTTGGTATCAGAACTCTTAAAATACTTAGGTATTTTAATTATAGGCCTTTGGTTCTAAACTTAATGAAATATGTGTCATCTGAAAGCTTATTCTAACTATGGTTAATTTTTTAAAGTACACTTGATTTAAGTACTGTTTTTAACTACTAAGAACTGTCATCATTTGACTTTCTTTTAGTTCAGGCTAATGAAGTTCATCCGAAAATTCCGGCTACTGATGTTTCTAAAAGTACAGCGGACTCAAACAACATGTCAAGTAAAAAAACAAATGGTCACCACAGTGCCACCAATGCTGACTTTGTCTTACCTGGTGGCTCCCCTGTGGTTCTTTTGGGTGCAAAAGCATCTGAATTGCAGAATGTTATTTCATCTCTTAGCCAAAAAAGAGTGGCTTCCGTCTTAAGAAATTCAGGAGATACAAAATCTTCAAATACAGACATTTCTCTTAAAACCAGGAAAAGGTAATTTTTGAGTAATAATTCTTAATTTTTATCCTTATATCGCAAATGCTAACTTAGCCTCTTATGTAGGTTTGAAGAAAGGGGTTGAGGGGTAACATGAGAAGAAAACAAATGCTTTTGCTTAGCTTTAGTTTTTAATTAGTCGTAAGAAAGGCATTAAAGTATACTTCAGAGAAATTGGGAGGTTAACGTTTCTAGAGTCTGTGGGAAAATGTTTTCTTTGTGGGGCTGGTGAGATGGCTCAGCAAATTAAGCCAGCTGGTGTGCAAGTCTGGTAACTAGAGTTCAATCTCTGGAAACCAAATAAATCTGGAAAGAGAAATCTGATTCCACAAAGTTGACCTCAGCGTCCATGTGTGTGCTGTGGCATGTGCATCCTTATACATCATACATGCAGATGCACAATAAATAAGACAGTTTTCTTTGTGATAGTTTTCTGTAATGTCTTGTTTATTTAACATTTTTTAGTTATCTTACAAAATAATAATTTTCACTGACATTTTTATATACCATTGTACATTGCTTACATTCATTCTACCCCATTATCTTTAACTTCTTGAAAGAAACAGTTTATATTTCCTGCATATTATTTGTGATTGCAAGGTTGAGTATTAGGTTCTTTCTAGAACAACAAAGTGCAGATGAGTTATAAACCTAGTTCCATTTCTTGGAGCTTTCCTTTTTGCTTTTAGGATACAAACAATAGGTTATTTAAGATACTTTGTTATTTGGAGACCTTTGTTATAAGTGTAATTTACCTCATGGAGAATTTGCTTACCTTTTCAACCTTTCAGGTTAAACTTTGAAGATAAAAGTATTTTGAACAAAGCAGAAATAGAGAACAATGTATTAGAAGAAGATAGCACATCAGAAGTACAAGAAGGAATAGCATCAGAAACGTCTCAGAGAAGACAAGATTTGAGCAATGAAATCCAACCACGATCTAAGAAGAGTTTTTCAGCATTGTATTTAGAAACTGTCAAGAGGAAAAGTGAATCTAGGTAAAGTTATTACAAAACTGTCCTTTTGGACATTTCTTCTGATTCATTCTCTGAACCATATCTGGATGTTCTTTGTTATTTAATATAGAAATCTTATTTTCTTTTCTTGACTTATAACATTTTCATTAGAATTTTGTACAATGTGTTTTGATCATTCATACTCCTCCCCATTTATACAGCTCCCCAAACTCTTCCCAGATCTGGGCTCCTCCCTTCCCTACCCGCACAGCTTTGTGGCCTTTTCTTTTTTAACATGTTAAGTCCATTTTGTGCTGCGCATATATTCTGGAATGTGTGACCTTCCCACTGGAGCGTGTCTTACTTACCAGGGCTACATTCTTGAAGAAAACCAAGTATCTCTCTGCCAACAGCTCTCAGTTGCCAGTATCCTTGGTTAGAGGTGGGACTTTGTGCCCACCTTGACTGGCATGAGTTTGCACAGGTCGTATGTATACTGTCACCACCACTGACTTGACCTATGTTCAGCAGCCCCGTTATGTCTGGAAGATACTGTTCCTTTGAAGTCACCTGCTGCCTTTGGCGCTTATATTCTTCTCACTTCTCTCCCAGAGATCATCCTTGATCATTTGATCCCTTGAGAGAAGGGAGTGTGATATAGATATCCCATTTAGGATAATCCATGGTCTCTAATTTTCTGTAGGTCTCTTTTTTTTCTACTATAAATAGTAGCTTCTCTGTGAGGGTTGAGAGATGCCTTTATGTATGGGCATAACAAAAAGCCAATAGCACTTAGTTTAATACTATGTCCATTTAGACAATAATAGTAGCAGGTTGTCCCTTAGGGCCTATGACCCATGTAGCCACAGGTGCTTGACCCCAGTAGTGCTGCCTGGTATGGGTTTCATCTTGTATAGTGGGAGCTAAATCCAGTCAGAAAGTGTTTGGTTACTTCTGGTATTCGTGCCATTATTGTACCAGTGAGTCTGTTAAGAGACCAGTCATTATTGTAATTCAGGAGTCACAGCTGGGTCAATAAGATTGGCCATGGAATATTGCTGCTAACTAGCTTGCTCCCTGGTGGCTCGCTCAGCCTGCTTCTTAGACCATCCAGAACCACCTGCTTACGGGTGGTACTGCTCACAAGGGGCTGGGCCCTCCCACATCAACCACTTAGTAAAGGGATGCTCCATAGGCTTGCTAATATTTTGGAGACATTTTTCTATTGTGTTTCCCTATTAGAGAACAGTAGCTTGTGTCAAGTTGATAAAAACCAAACCAAACAACAACAAAACCCATAAAACAAACAAATACAACCAGGGCAATTACTAAATGTGTGAATTGCCTAAGATGTACAAATGTGTTCTTTTATGAATATTTTAGTAAATTTATAGTCTTTTATAACTGAGTATATGCAAGTATGATAATGCTTCCTTAGTAAAATAAATTCAGGGTTAGCTATGTGGGGATAGAGGACTATAGCAGAAGACAATGATTTGTCCTCACGACAACAGATTATGTGGCATTGTCTACTTTATAATAAGAGTCATCTCTCCCTGTTTTTGCAGCACTAGATTTCTCGTGCCTGTGTACCCTAGTCAACTTCATTCTGAACCACTATTATTGTATAGAGATATCTGTGAGAATAATCATGAAATATTAGAACTTAAGCTGAAATTTCGTATTATAGTTCATTTATATGAATGATGATTACATTTCTTTCGCTTACATCTGTCAGATATAAAAAGGATAAGAAGGCATTCAAGATCAGTTATATTATTTTTCTTTTAAAATATTAGATATGATGGCTTATTATATTTAAAATTGTTAATGTTTTAGATGTAAAGAAATGCAGATATCTGTACAAATAGTTTAATCAAACATGGATAAGGCACGCACTGTTTTTTTGTAAGTAAATACATTTGGGTTATAATTATACAATTGTAAATTTCAAGGTTTTAGCATGTGTATTGATTGAGGGGCATTAAAGTGGGTGCCCAACTTTAAATTTCTATGATCTTAGTATTATAAAATGAAGAAGATTAAGAGAAAATTGAGGAGACTTGTGATTTTTATTTCCGGTAAAGAATATTCAGTAAACAAAGATAAAACTTCAGTTACTTTAACTGTTAAAATAATGTTTGGTTTCAGTTCCATTGTTAGGCATACAACAGCAGTTCGACCTCTTTCATCTCCTCCAAATGACATGAAATTATTAGAAGATGAATTTATTATTGATGAGTCAGATAGAAGTTTTGCAAGTCAACCTTGGGTGACAATACCAAGAAAAAGCAGACCTCTGAGACAGCACTTGCCATCTCCTGAAAACATTGGAACTCCTAAAGATAAGAAGTCAAGAGAAAAACCTCATAGTGTGTCAGCTAAGACTTTGATAAGTGGCTCCCAGTCTCATAAGGCTCCCCCAAAAGAGAAATCTCAGCCTTCTGTTGAAAACCTCCTGGGGATTAGTCGTACGGATGAATTGGAAAATGACTGTAGATCTACAGAAAATAAAATGCATTCTGAGAATGCTAAAGAACCATCTGGAAGCAAAAGGACTGTAAGACAGCAGCAGAGAAGAGCATCAAAGCCTACAATAGTTGAAGAGCAGGTTAACGTGCAAAAGGGTAGAAAGGGGAAGAGGAACATGCCAAACACTGGCCGGGACAAGTCACATGTAAATTCAGAAAGAAATATGGAAGACTGTGAAGAGGTGAGAAATGAGCCTGTTCCCAAGAAACAGATGCTGCCTGTTGGTAAGTGTTTATATTAATTCAGAGTATGAGTATTTATAGTTGTTATATTCGTCCTTAGCTTTCGGAGATAGGCAAAGGAAAGCTGCCTGCAGATTCACAAGTCTTTGGGGTTCTTTTTGAGAATCTCTCTAGTTTTAGTTCAGTGCACAGTCAGGTTTTTATTTATTTATTTATTTATTTATTTAAATAGATCCTAAGGCAGAAACACCCATGGAGAAGTGAAAGACTATCAACAAATTAATGAAAGGTTTTCACCTGCTAACATGTGTGTGTGTGTGTGTGTGTGTGTGTGTGTGTGTGATGGGTATGTAGATTGACAGATACACATGTATATAGGATGAAAGTAGAAGAACAGAAAATAAGTCCCTACCCAATATTGCCAAAGATCTTTATATCTTCACAAAGATTTTTGAGTAAAGAATGAATATAATGTTCTGATGTGTTGCTATACTGATTCTGATATTCCATTTTTGTTACAAATTTAGTAGCTTAAACATAACACTTAAAACTTTTTTCCTATCTTATATAATTTTTAGGTCAGAAGTTTCACAAGATGGAAACAAAGATCTTTGTTTAGCTCTGTTTCTGGTGTGTCTGTAAGAGCTCTGCTCCTCACTTTTTCCATTGTGTTTAGGTACCCATAATCCTAGATGGTCCTTCTCCATCATCAAAGCTTAACGTTTCTTCTGTGGCTCATTTCTCACTTTTCCTGCATCATCCCAAGTTCTGTTTGATCACAAATTTTAAGGCTACACGATTGAGCTAGTAGGGTTAATCCAAAGTAATCTCATTTCAAGGTTTATAATTTAGTTATACTTAATTTCTTCCAAAATTAGATTTCAAAACAATGAAAATGAAAGGCAGTAATTACCTGTTTTATTTTTGTGAAGTGGTAAGTAGAAAGAAACGATGTTTTGTTTTTCAAAAGATACTCACACTAGGGAGATAGCCCAGTGCCTGTCTTTTAAGCAGAATGACTTTTTGATCCCCCAAACCCAAGCTAGAAAAATACAGCTGTTGTGGTTTCCCACATTTGTAATACTGGGACTAGGGAGGCAAAGATAGGCCGATCCTTGGGGCTTGAGAGCCAGGCAGCACAGCCTAACTGGTGAGTTCTAGGCAGTAGCCCTCTCAATAAAACAAAATAGAAAAAAATAAATAAAGAGAAGAAATGACATGTAAGGTGTCCTCTGGTTTCCATACATGTGCACCTGTATGCATGTACCTGCATGCACATACACACATATTTCTCTTTTAGTTTATGACAGGCAGTGTGAAGCATTTACATTTAATTGACAGAAAACCAGAGATTGAAAACACATGGCTTTTTAAAGAAACTGATGTGAAAGTAGCCCATGAGATAAACATGTTTCTGTAATTGAATTTTATTTATATAAAATCTGTTGTGAACTTTTGAAAACTGATATTTTGAATAGTTTTTGTGGTTTTTCTTTACATTAGAAAACAAGAAAAAAAAGCATAGCACCCAAAAAGATAAGGAAAAATCCAGAGAGAAATGTGTTTCTGGTGGGTCTAAGGACAAATGTGTGCCTGACGAAGTGTCTCTGAGTGTCAGGAGAAGTTGTAGAATTTCTCACCATCCATCTGAGTGGTGGCTGGTAAAACCAGAGGAAGGTAAGTATTTTTATTTAAACTGTCTTTGTTGGAAGCCCCCTCCAATCATTCTCTACAGGGTTATGTGTGACTTATTCCCATTATATAGAAATACTTTATAAAGACAAAGTTAAATTGGTTCACCAACAGAAATATTGTCAGTTATAAAGTATAAATTTATACAGTGTTCTGTGTGGAGGCATGGTCTGTAGATAAACATAGCCAAAGTTAGAAGTCCTTGTACTTAAGAAGGTTACATTCTGTGAGGGAAAATAGTATAGATAAAATAATTCATGTAATGATAGATGTTTAAAAATCAGAAGAAGAATAAAGATAAGAAAGAGATGGCAGGGAATCCTAGATAGAATTGAGTACGATTTTAGTACAAGATGCCATGGCTGGCTAGGTTGCTACAAAGAAAGATGACAAACTGAGAAATCTGGAATTACAGGAAACACTCAGATCTTCAGGATGCTATCTTAGCCACTTTTCTGTTAGTGTGATAATACTCTGACAAAAGCAGCTTATGAGAGGAAGGATTTATTTGGCTCACAGTTCTAGAGGGGTCAGATATGGCGGCATCCGGAGGCTAGCTGCTTGTATTGCATCCGCATCCACATATACAGTAGAAAGCAATGGAGCAAGACACCAGATGCCAACCTCTGACCTGACTTGCACTGAATACACAGCTGAGGGCCAGGAAGTACCTTTCTCCACCTGGATCATCCAGGATCCAATATGGCAGCCAAGGAATGGTGCCACTCTCATGGGTGTGGGTGGGTCTTCTCACCTTAGTTAATACAATCCACATGGCCTCCTTATAGGCATACGTAGAGGCCCATCTCCTAGGAGATTTAGATTCTGTTAGGTTGACAACACTTACCATTACAGATGGTCAGGGCAGAGCCAGAGAAAAAATTAAGGAAGTTTGTGATAGGTTTAAAAATCTAGCATGTTGTGTAAATACAATTGAAAAATGTAATAATTTTTTTATGTGAAAACAGATTTAGCTTATGAAATTGTTATGTGTATTTATATGTAAATATAATGATGTTGGTGTTTCAGTGAGCCAGATCACTTGAACAAACATGCTAATTTCAAATTGTCATTGAATCTTCCAGGTTCTGTTAATAGGAGTTCTTCAAGAGAAAATGAATCGTCAGGGGTGGATCACAATAGAAGAAAACGGGCTAAGAAAAATCAGTTACCTGCGAATCCTGGGAAAAAACCCTTTCCATCAAAAAGACAGAAGACAGAGAGCAGCTCGAGAGTACAGAAGTCTTCCAACGTTAAGGGTTCTAGAGGAAGTGTTAGTCATGATGAAATCTCTGGTTCCCAGAGTGAGCCATTGGAAAACAATGAGGCAGACCCAACTCAGATGAAAAGTCTGGATATTTCTGGGTAATTTCTGTTGTATTTACAATATAGCTGTTGTTTTTCCCTCCCCTGTTGAAACTTAGTTGTTTGTCTGTTACTCAGTCTTCAGAGTGAGAATAAGCACTTGGTCAAAGTTGATATTAAATCCAGGCTCTGTAATCAGCTAGATGACACCTAGGTACATTACCACTCTGAACTTGTTTCCTTGCTGTCAAATTGGGAATGATGGGTATCTGGTTGTGTGGTGCATGTGGTAGACTGTCAATGTCACTCAGCATCACTCTTATTATTCTCAGGCCAGGTTTGTACCATTTCTTTCTTTTCTGTTTCTTATTTTTTTAACTGGGAGTCATGGTAGACTTCAGATACCTTGTGGACCTAGTTGTAAACCTTAAGGTCTGAACATGATGAATTGATACTTGTTATAGCTAAGTATATATTTCATGTATAAACATTTGTATATTGTTTCTAGAAGAAGAAAGAACTTTTGAAAAATAATTTTAACCTTTTTTTTCCCCCTCATAGACCTACACGAGGCTCTAAGTATCAAAACAGTATTATGACTTCACAAAATGTTCGTTTAAAGTCTCATACTGGGAAATATACAAGTAAGACACCAATAGAGTCTATTTCGGATTCAGGCGAGCCTAAAAATTCGATTTGGGAAGAAAGGTGTGTATATAGTGTAGTGAAAATAGAAGTTACTCACTGTACTGTTTATCCATTTCTATGTTACTCCAACAGAATTTTATTTTTACTGTTGGCTTGCAGATGTGTGTTGCTTTATCCTTTCTGTGGGGTCAGAAATCTGGGCAAGGCTTAGCCAGCTGTTTGGGTTTGGAGGTGTCTCTCTGTATCTCTTTAATGACTTGACTACAACTGGAAGGCTCCATTCATGGCTCATGGCTGTTGGCTGAAGGTTGCAGTTCTCCGCTGTCTTTGGTAGTCAGCCTTCGCTTCTTGTCATGTGGCAGCTGACTTCCTACAAAGCAAATAATCTGAGAGAAGACAAGGGAAATCAGATCCCTCTTAATTACTTAATCTCAGAGTTCTCTCTCTCTCTTTTTTAAATTAAGGAATTTTTTATTTATTTTACATACCAACCACAGATCCTCCTCTCTTCCCTCCTCCCACCCCTCCAGCCTTCTCCCCCCCATAACCCACCCCCTATTTCTTCCAACAAGGTAAGGCCTCCCATGGGGAGTCAGCAGAGCCTGGTACATTTAGTAGAGGCAGGTCCAAGTCTCTCCGCCTGCATCAAGGCTGTGCAAGGTCTATACTCACTTTTATGGTTTCTGTTCATCAGAAACAAGTCATCACAAGTCCACACCACACTCAGGAAAAGGGAAATAAGGTTTTATCTTTTGAAAAGAAGATTGTTTCAGAATTTGTGGATGTATTGTTAAAATATACATACTAGCACTGAGCAAGTGAGATTAACCTGCTTGTTTTAGCTATGAACTGTTAAAACCTTTAAAAATGCAAGACTAGTAAATTAAGCAAACCTCGGCTTTTGAAGGGAGAATGGGTTCTTTATTGTGATTATAGGACTTGGAGGAGGAAAGGAACCTGGGACTACCATAGCTTGAGTCAACTATGATAATTTTGGGACTATATGTTTAATTTCATTTTTTTGTAGATGGTTTCTTTTAAAAGTAGGATATGCTTGCTGGTTTCTGTTATTTTTGTGAAAGAAGCTTGCTATTGGACTTGACTAAATTCATAACTGATCCATGAATTAATTTAAAATGTTCTAGCTGAGCTTAGTAGTGCATGCCTAGAATCCTAATGCTCAGGAGGCTGAGGCAGGAGGATTGCAAATTCTAGACCAGTTTAGGCTACAATAAGGAGGCCCAGTGCCTGAGCTATCTGAGCTCAATCTCTCATTTATATAAATTTGTATTTATCAAATTTGACTCAATTATGGGATCAGATCATAGTCCTTGCTTGATGCTGCATGGAAATACATTCTTGATGTATTCCATCACTTTTAGTTTCATAAGAAAGAAACTGATGGCAATTTTAAGACATGATCATGAAATTTAGATACAAAGGGTTTTATATTATAAAAGCACAAATTTTATGGTTTATTTTGTTTTTAAGTGGACCTTCCCGGTTCAAGGATCATTTAATGTCTGGAAGCAGTAATTCTGATGTGGGTGGTGAAAAGGAGAGTTTGGGTAAGTTGTTCTTTTTTACTGTCTTGGTTTCTATGGCACTGTGAATATAAAGGAAGGTGTTCTGTGTTTATTTAAATTTTCAGTAATAGTAAATGTGGATCTACTCCTAAGATTACTGCTTTATAGTTGGAAATCGTTGAAATGGTCCAGATGAGTAAAGGCACTTGCTAACAAGCCTGACAACCTGAGTTCAGTTCCCTAGAACCTACCACATAGTAGATAGAGAGAACTAATTTCTATAATTGTTCTCTGCTCTTCACATATATGCTGTGGCATATGTGTGTAATAAATACCCTCTGCAACAGAATAAATAAACAAATCCGTTAAACTGTAAGGAAATACTTAAAGAAACAGTAAGTATATGTTGATGGTTACTGAAGTTAGATGGTTGGTATATTGGATTCATTATGGTGTTTTCTGTTTTTTTTTTTTATATAAATTTGTAACTTTTCATGTTTTGCACATTTTTTGTGCTTGAATATAAAGTTATACTACCTTTTTTGTTCCTAATTCACTAATTCTTTTTCTCCCTATCTTTAGATTTATCTTATATATTTCTTTTTAAATTTATATCTTTCTATATTCTTTTCTTTACTTTTTATTTGGTAAAGAAGCACTGAATTTGCCTGAGTACAATATTGATGTGATTTATTAGGTTTCCCTAAATAGTACTGTAATAGATTCTTTTAGAGATACACTTTTGTCAAGTATGAAGATTGCTTTAGCTTTATTTATTTTATGTTCATGAGTGTTTTGCTTGCATGTTTGTCTGTGCACCACATATGTGACTGCTGTCTTTTGAGATCAGCAGAGGGTATCGGATCCCCTGGAAGTGGAGTTGAAGATGGTTGTGACCCATGATATGGGTGCTGGGAGTACCAAGTCCTGGTCCTCTGCAGGAGCAATAAGTGGTCTTAATGCCTGAGTTATCGCTCCAGCTCCTTGTAATATAGTCTGAATTATAATGATTTTTCTGTTACCCAGGAGTTACTGAAGGAGCACCTAGAGATCTTGCTATCTAGACCTGGGGGTAAATTTGTCTCTGCTCCTTACTAGCTCTTGAAATTCAGTGTTTGTAACTTCAGTTCACTTACATGTAAAATTCTGGTATTGATTCCAGTTAATATTAGCTGCTAGTCTAAGAAGTTATGGTTTTTTTTTTTTGTTGTTGTTTTTGTTTTTTGGTTTTTCAGGAGGGTTTTTTTATTGTTTCTTTTACTGATAGTAAATTTGGGAAGGCAGGGTCAAGAGGAGTTCCTGACGACTGGGTTGGATATAAGATATAAAAGGTGCTAGAAATAACTTTTAAGGTTGTTGGCCTACGCATCTGAGACAATATCATTGTTATTACCCAAATTGGAGACAAAAGGAGGAGCAGATATTTGGGGGAAGGCAGAGGAAAGAGAATGGTAGATTTGAACATGGTAAGCTTGATATTGTGGTGACCATTTGCATCCTTTCTGACTAGAGACTGTTAATCACTGGTGGAGGTGGAGTGAGTGTTCACTGCAGCTGGATGTATGTTGGCTTCCCCTGTATTCTGTATAGCCCAGGTTTCATACCTGTCGGTGCTGTTAGCCAGTGTGTAAACCCTGGATGCACTGTAGCCTGCTTTGGCTAAAACTTTCTTGATATAATGAAATGCATTTTATTTACTTATTTTAATCTAACAATGTTATGGATTTTGGTTTGATCCCCTCCCTCCCTTTCTTTTTTAACGGTACTAAGGAATGAACTCAAAGCCCTGTGCATGCTGGGCAAGCACTTTACCATGGAGCTATATCTTTTACATTCCTCTTCCTTTTTTGTTTTGAAACAGGATCCTGCTAAGTTGCCCAGGCAGGCCTTGAGCTAACTCCATAGTAGTCACCAGCCAAGTTGCCAGACTTGACCTTATTGACCTTGTAGCCTACCTCTGGCTCTGGAGTAGGTGAAATTGCAGGCCTACATCGCTAGAACTGGCAGGCTGTTGTTTCTTTTTTTTTCTTTTTTTAAATTTTTATTTATTTATGTGTTTTATGTATGTGAGTGTTTTGTGTGTATATACATCTGCACACCAGGTGAGAGCATCAGATTCTATGAGAATTACCTGAGACCACAGTTACAGCTGCCTGTGATCTGCCACATGGGTGCTAGGAATTGAATTCAGTATCTCAGGAAGAGCAGCCAATGCTTTTAAACACTGAGCATCTCTCCAGCCCCATTTCCTATATTACTAATGGTTTTGTTGTATTTTTATTTCCAAGGGAGTCCTGGGGACTGAATATAGGATCACGCATCCTAGGCAAAACCTCTTGTCCATTCCACCTCCTCTTCCCCACTTCTCCTCTCCCCTCCTCTCCTTTCCTCCTTCCCTCCCCTTCTCTCACCCCCTCCATTCTCTTGTGTGTGTGCACTTCTGTATGTGTGACCTCTGCAGCTGTGAATGCACGTGTGCAGATCAAGTTGATGTTAGAGTATCTTCCTCTATTTCTCTCTACCTGTTTTTGAGACAGACTCTTTTTATTAAATTGGAAGCTTGCTGTTTTGGTTACACTGGTTGACCAGCAAGGTCTGGGGATGTGCCTATGCACCATGCCCCACAATGCCTTTGGCCAGCTTTTAGGAGGGTGATGAGAATCCAAACTCATGTCGGTACCAGGAATCTTAAAGAGTCTTATTAATAAAATCAAACCTGAAGCCAGTTATTGGGGTGAATGCTGGAAGATCAGAGAAGCAGAACAAGCCACAGCTACCTCACCTCGACAGTTCCTCAGCTGATCCTGTTTCCTCAGACTGGAAGCCTCTGAGTCCTTATCCAAATGAATCTCAGCTGAACTGCTTCTTGAAAGCCTGAAAGCTTAACCAGCCAAAAGCTTCTAGTTTCTGGTCTTCACGCCTTATATACCTTTCTGCTTTCTGCAATCACTCCCTGGGATTAAAGGTGTGAGTCATCATGCTTGGCTGTATCCTTAAACACAGAGATCCTTGAATCTCTGCCTCTGGAATGCTAGGATTAAAGGCGTGTGCTACCACTGTCTATCCTCTATGTTTAATATTGTGGCTGTTCTTTTCTCTGACCCCAGATAAGTTTATTAGCATGCACAATATTTCGGGGAACACAATACCACCACATATGTCCTTACACTTAAGCAGCTGGTACTTCATCCACAGAGCCATCTTCTCAGCCCCTTACTTAAACTTTGTTAGAGAAGTGAAAAATGTCTTACAAACAGCAGACTGATTGTTACTTTTTAAACTTAATGGATCATCTTTTAAAAAAAAAAACCTTAGTTTTTGCTCTGTGGTATTATAGTAATTAACTATCATTTATTCTTATACTCAAATAGTGATAGATCTCATCATTTGCTGTTATTTTAGCTGGTGCCTTCTTTTGTCATGAATCTATCATTTTTTTAACACTACCTTTTAGGGAGTTAGGGGACATAAGTTGCTCCATAAGATGTACTTTTAACTTGAATTGATTATTTCTCTGAAAACACCTGATTCATTTTGGTGGACTATGGCTTTTAGAATCCAAGATCAGTGTTCTTATTACTGACATACCTTTGACTCCAGTTTTTTTCTGGCTAGGATAGGAACACACACACACACACACACACACACACACACACACACACACACGGTGGGAAGGTTGGTGGGAGGCAGAGAGACTGAGACTCTGAGACTGACTGTATTTAACAGTTGCCATCTATCTTACTATTGTGATAAAACACCATGACCAGTAGCAGCTTAGGGAGGAAAAAGTATATTTCAGTTTGTAGTTCCACATCATAGTTCATCCCAGAGGGAAGGTAGGACAGGAACTCAAACAGGACAGAAATCTGGAGGCAGGAGCTGATGCAGAGGCCCTCCTATATTAGTCAAGAAAATGCTCTGCAGACATGCCTACAAGCCAATCCTCGGCAGGCATTTTCTTGATTCAGATTCCTTCTGCCCAGATGACCCTGACCTGTGTCAAGTTGTCAAAAACTATCCAGCACAACAGCTATTTATATTTATTTATATCTAGAAACCACAGATTTACATCCACACCTCCAATTCCAACACAGTATGGACTTTCTCTTTTCTGTTTGTATAAGCCCTTTCTCAAATAGTAAGTACCTCATTCCCATTATTCTCAATGCATTCAGTCATCCATCTACTAGATAGTGGGAAATTTTTCGATAAAGACAAGGCATCTACTTATGTGCAGATTACATGGGAAATTGGATTGGAGTGGAGGTGATAACATCTTAATTTTTAAGATAAACTTCACACGTCATAATTAGCTTACAAGTCAATGGTATGTAGTCATCATTGCATTCTCTTCCTCTCAGGCCTGGGCAAACAATCATCTGCTTTTGATCTTCACGGATTTATTTTACAGGGCAGTTCAGTTTTATAGACATGAAAGTTTCTTCCAAATCAACAGTTCTATTTTTGATTTAGTAGTCTCGAAAAACCAAAAAAAAAAAAAATATTTTCTGAAAGCTTGGACCAACTTTTCTGTAAGATTCATATATTGCAGTCAACATACGTAATTCATGAACAAGAAGTATTCCAAAATTTACTGCTTCATTGCTACCTCAAAACTTAGTGGCTTACTACAGCCATTGATTTACTTTATGTGGTTCACCTGGTAGTAGACTTGGTTTGTCTAGGCAGTTCTTAGGAGGGTACATTTATGATTTGATAGTTAGATATGAGCTATTTAACTGCAATTCTGTAAGTTTAATTGAACTAGATATTTGAAATGAGTTCCTCACTTCTGTGTTTGGCACCCATCTTGGATAGACAGAACACTGTGAGCTGTCTCAGAATCTTTCCCTCCGTATGACCTTTTCGAGTGGCTGTCTTGGCTTTCCTGAAAGCATGGCAATCTTGAGTAGTTGAAAGCACTATTGTCTTCCCCTAAAGGGGGAAGTTTGACTCCCTAATGAAATTTGCATATCTTAGGATTTTGGATGTAACCACATTAGTCCCAGAAAGTAATTTTTGTGTGTTCAATTAGTATACCAAGTCACTCTGGCTGGCAGAAATTCAAAAAGGAAATGAAAATGTTGCTGAGGCTTTTCTTTTTGTTGCCACTTAAAAAATTTGAAATATAATTACATAATTCCCCCCTTGTAATTTCAGTAAATCTAGAAATTTGTCCATTTCTTTTAGATTTTCCAACTTAATGGAGTATTTTTTTTTAAAACATTCACTTATAATATTGATTTCTTTGGTGTCTATTATAATGTTTTTCTGTTCATTTCTGATTCTGTTAATTCAGGTCCTCTTTCTTTTGGCTGGTTGAGTCAGGGGTCTGCTAATCTTGTTTATCTCCTCAGATCCATCTCCTAGATTTGTTAACTTTTTTTTTAATTAAAAAATTTTTTATTCATTTTACATACCACCACAGATCCCCCTCTCATCCTCCTCCAGTTCCCCCTCCAGCCTCTCCCCCCCCCCCATCCCCCATCCCCTCCTCCAAAAGGATAAGGCCTCCCATGCGGAGTCAGCAAAGCCTGGTACACTCAGTTGAGGCACGTCCAAGCCCCTCCCTCCGGCATGGGCAGGGGAGGCTTCTGATCATAGGTAATGGGATCCAGAAAGCCAGCTCATGCACCAGGGATGGATCCTAATCACACTGCCAGGGCCCCCTCAAACAGACCAAGCTACACAACTGTCTCCTGTATGCAGAGGGCCTATTCTGGTCCCGTGCAGGCTCCACAGCTGTTGGTCTAAAGTTCCTGAGTTCCTATGAGCTTGGTTCAGTTGTCTCTGTAGATTTCCCCATCATGATTTTGACCTCCCTTGCTCATATAATCCCTTTTCCCTATCTTTAGCTAGACTTCCGGAGCTCAGCCTGGTGCTTGGTTATGGATCTCTGCATCTGCTTCCATCAGTTATTGGATGAAGGTTCTATGATAAAAGTCTCCCAACTTA